GCCCAGGTGAGTTACCACAAGGTCCTACAGATATTTGTTATCTTTTCCCCCAGGTTTAACCCCCTAATCACTTTATTACCATAATTGCTTTTTACTCTCCAGGCTGTAAATCAGCAGTGTACAACAGGCACTCCATCCAGTGACACGCTGTCAGTCAGGGCTTACCTTTAAAATATTCAACTTGCTTTTAAAATATTTAACTTACTTTTAAAATATTTAACTTCTTCAGGCTACCCAGTAACTCGCTGGGGGTTACCAAGGCCCCGAGAAGGGTTTTAATTCTTAAGCAGATGTATGAAACTGAACCCCTCCTAAGAGCTCACATTTTTCAGGTAACCCAGAACATCTTCAGGTGTTTTAAGTGCTTTTGTTGGGTATTTGACCTTGAAAATCAATCAGCACCATAAGGCCCTGTGCTATATTGAGCATATAGTGCCCAAGGGTGCGTTTCTTTCCCTGGGGGTGGTTACAGGGGGTAGATTTATACCAATTTTCTTCAGGCTGAGCACCGAGGTGAAGAATCTGTCTTGCTCAGACCATCACACTTCATCTGTGGTGGCACGTTCCCATCCCACAGTGAATTAAGTCACTATCTTAAAAACAAGGACCTGTCTTTCAAAACTTCCTATGCTGGGACAAATTCCCAGTTTAAAGGCTCATCACTTTAAAATTCCCATTTTAAGGGCTGTGTTATCTCCTGGCTCTCCAAGGGGAGCTGCAGTGGCTCTGCAGGGACACAGCACTGGGATTCCTCGCACAGAGAAGCCTTTATTCGCTTTACTAAAGTTATGCCATTTCCATTCTGCTTCCTGTTTCCCGTCCTTCCTGTTCCTTCATGGAAACCAACAGGACTCTACACTGAAGTGTTCCAAAAGTAGGTGGTGCTTTCTCTCCAGCTTCTCCCCCATTCCCTGGGGGATTGGTAAACGTGAGCTGCGGGAATTGACGTGCACAGGGTTTATTAGTGACTAATCTGAGATCTTAACTCCTGAAAGTGCTGAGTTCTCACATGTCTTCTTGTTCTATCATCCTAAGGAGCACGAAGAATCACTTTAAAAACACATGCCAGGCCGTGTAAAACCTTCCTCTGGTGCACAGACAATAAGGACAGGAAGTTTTCCTGAAGGGCAGGGAGGATCCTTGGAAACAAATCCCGGTGCAGGTGGAAAAGCATTTGCCCGAGTGAATCCCATTTCTTTTTCC